TCTAAACGCCTTGCAGTGAAATTTGAGCTGCCAGTCAGAATAAAGGACAAGCTTAATACACTCAAGGAGGAACCCTGGTGCAGAAATGGCCAAAATTGCCAAAAGCAGGATTTCCAAAGTTGTTAGCTAAAAGATGCAAAGAATGTTTCATATTCAGGGGGTTCAACCTTTCAGGTAATTGGGTCCTTTTTTATCATTTGGAAAGAAATAACGGAAAGATTAGGTTACTCAATTGACAAAAATTTTTGTCGCGGAAAGACTTAATACGTTCCTGGATGACGGATACACGAGGCGTCTTCCATGGAATTTGTTCTTGATGACATGTTGACAAATTTTAGTAAGAATTTCTCAATATGTGCCCAACTTAGTCTACCGTCCCATAAATGTGGGGGAAGAAGGCAAAATATTCCCCACTAGAAATTATCAAAACTTTGATATTGTTAAACTTAAAAGCTGAATCTTAAAATTTCCCCAGTAAAATCTGTCAAAGATTACAGAAAAGAAATTTTCAAGGAAGATTTTTTTCCCAACTTGCAAGTTTTACCAGCAAAGTCCCTCCTTTATGAGTGTACGCTCGTAATTTCTTTATGAGAAATCCCGTGCAGTCATAATACTGAGCTAATTCTCGGTACTGTGTTATTGCAATCTATCATAATACAGCTAAATTCGTTCGTATCTCGGAGAAACTGGTCATAAGCAACTGAGAACTCGTCACTATAGATTACTATCTTCGCTAGTTCGCTGGTTCCTATTCAATTAGACTGTCTGGTAATTGGCACCAAAATCCTAGTTGCTGTAACTAGACTTTTTTTTCAGTGATCTGCTGTGACGATAATACTAAGCTTTTTGTTCCTGTCACGAGGACAAAGCCCAGTAGGATCTTGGGAGCCCGGGTGGAAGGAAGTCTAGTTTTAACTGAGTACCGACTACAGTGAAAAACTGCAGTGCACAAACTGCGGTCTTCAGTGCAGTCAAAGTATGAAAAAACTCTGTAATTATTTACAAGTTTGTGTACTGTTCAGGTGGTACTCGTAATAGTAGTCTGACTGCAGTTTTTTTCCAGTTAAGAGTTCAGTTCTTAAATAGTGTCGAAACTTCATCTTGATCTATAGCTATGTTACACTCACCATTGCTCAGTTAAACAATACTTCAAAAGTGTGTTAAAATACTACTTTTGACTCAAGTATATCAACGCTTTATCTGTAATTTTATCTGCATGATTGTTGTCTAGACACCATTACGCTTCAATTTACACTTATAGTATACCTTTTCAATGCAGTCAGGAATGAGGAAGCGATTGAAGAACAAAAGTAATCACATGCAGGGACTACTAGCGCGCCACCTAGCGGCCGATGCTGTGAACTTCGTTCGGACCTACGCTTGACCAATCAGGGTTCAGCTTTTGACAGTTCGCTATAACGGCCGCTTGGTGGCGCGCTACTGGTCCGGGCTTTTAGAGTATTTTGTTCTTCACTCGGCGACGAGCGAAAGGGGCTATTGAAAACCGACAGGGCTGGAAGCAAGGATCAGTACGTCGATCAATATGGTTTTTCTTCTCTGAGATTAAGCATGGCGGGGTGAAGCCAAATTTAACGTTGAGCATAAAATTATTGCGATATTCTTAGACGTCGGGGTAGTGCGCAAACTGTGGAAAAATCCCCATCCCACCACACCGTGTGGTCTACTGTCAGCCGCCGAGCTGCAAGGCCAGGTTTCAAGGACCTGCCGCTAGGTGGCGCTTGGATCGCTGTGAGTGTTTGTCAAACGGGATTTTTATTAGGCTAGTGAATTAAGTTATTTTTGCAAGTTACACCATCTGCCACTTCAGTAAATATTGCTTTAGACGTTAGAGAAAAATTTGAATCAGAATATTGCACTGAAGTGGAGAAAAACGGAATTCCGTGTTAGCACTCGATGGCGTCTACGGGCGACAATTAGGTTGGGTCCACGCATGATTCGCTCGGTTCTCCCGACTCTCCTACCCACTGGGGAGTCTGCGGTGACAAGAGTGGTGACGTATGAGGCGATGTTAGTCAATACTAGCTCCCTTTCCCAATTTTTTTCAATACCCACAGCATTTTCGTGTGGCATGGATGGTCCACCCGACTTGCCGCCCGGCCTTCAACCCGGGGTTTCCCCTCTCAAGCGGAGATGGCACAGCATTAAACAACCACGTAAAGGACATGGAAGGAGTAGGCAGGGTCGGCATTTGGGGGGTTGCAGAACTAAATTTGAACGTGATTCCAAATCCACACTTGTGACTAAAATTCAGAAAATACTTCTCGAAAATAATTTTAACTTCAATATAAAAATCGAGTTAAAGCTTCTTAAAACTGGCGAGATGAAACATGATTTAAAAATGCAGACAAAACTGCTCTGTCCGAAAAAACTACCAGTTTTCCTGTAAACAGACTGCAGTTCAACTATAGTTTAAATATAGTTAGACTGCAGTTTCACCAGTTTAAAATTTCAGTTGAACTACAGTCAAACTGCATCGGTCAGTCTGCAGTCTGACTGCGTTCGTCTGCAAATAGGCTACACTTATTGAATATAGTAAAACTTAAGTTATTTTATAAACAGAAAGTATGTGGCGTACAGTCTAACAAATAGTTAAGTTGCAATTCCCAGATATAATTAGAACTTCAGTTCCTTCCACCCGGGAGTGCAGCTCGGTGTAGCTTCAGTTGGACTTACAAAACTGAATCGACCTCCACGCTGATTGCAGGTGCCCGGCCAAGACGGGGGCCGGCAAGCGGCTGCTGGGGTACGTGGAGAAGGCCGGCCTGCGCGCCCTGACGGCGGACCGAGGCCCCTGCGTGGGCCAGTGCGCCAAGCCGTGCGTCTTCTGCGACGACGACATCGTCATCGTGCTCAAGCGCGCCCGCCTGGACAAGGGCGGCAAGCGGCCGGGAGGGCGGGGCAGTGGCGACGTGGAAGCGGACGTGTAGGGGGAAGTCCCTCCGTCGCCGCACCGCTGTCATTTTCTATTTATTCACTCGTTAAATTTCCTGCAACGTCAGCTTGTTGCAGTGATTCAGGTCATTTTGTCGCGTACTATCAATTCAACCGCCCACATGTATTATCCTATTAATTTCGATTCTTGAAAACATCTCGTTCTTCCCTTTCGAGAAGTTTCAGAGGCATTTTTTTTAAGAAGTCCGATCGTGGAACACGACCGATGCCGATTTCCTCCATTTTTTGGTCAAAGGTAGTCCTTGTGGGTCTAAGAAAGGCCACAAATTTTTGGGGCCGAAATATGCACCGTTCAGATTCTATGGGCAATTTTCGTTTTCTCTGACAACTTTTCACATAATATGGCCAAAATTGAAAAATCACCTTTCTGAGGCCTCTATGCACTCGATTGAGCTCAAAATGTGGTATCTTATGTAAAATCACGCGAGGAACACGAATCCGGTGCCCGTTTGTTGATAGGACAACCCAAACAGAAGTTATGACTGTTTTTCAGGTTTTGTAGTGGTTTTTACTTTTCTTGGGGTTTTGGTGTTCGGCATCGATTTTCGCCAATCCGATGAGTGGATTTTATAGATAAAGGACCAATCTATCATACTACGAGATAAAAAGTTTGTGTACGCCGCGTGAAAAGCAGTGGCGCTGCAAAAATTGAAAAACCGTCATTTCTGGGTAGTTTTAGATCAGATAAGCCACCTTTCGCGTGACCGTCTCCGCCCCATATTCAGTCTAAATATTGTCCCAAGTGATGTCAGAGTTGGTGTGAAATTTCACCGCTGTAGCTCAAGTAGTTTGGAAATGGCAGTTTTCTAAAGTTTTGCAATCACGTAAGGCATTTACTTTAAGTAGAATTGCGGTAAATGTGAAGACTTGTCACAGATCGGGTAATGAATGAGATAGATAAGTGCGTCAAAGTTCTCTAAGCGTAATTTTGGACAAGGAATTCGATTTTGCCGGTACGAAGACCCCAGGTGTACTCTAAAACTACGTTTTCGTGCAAACCACACAAAAATGGCCTTTTTTCCAACTTCAGAGTTCGCCTAGGGTCTTCGTACCAGCAAAATCGGATTCCTTGTCCAAAATTACGCTTAGAGAACTTTGACGCACTCATCTATCTCATTTATTACCCGAACTGTGACAAGTCTTCACATTTACCGCAATTCTACTTAAAGTAAATGCCTTACGTGATTGCAAAACTTTAGAAAGCTGCCATTTCCAAACTACTTGAGCTACAGCGGTGAAATTTCACACCAACTCTGACATCACTTGGGACAATATTTAGACTGAATATGGGGCGGAGACGGTCACGCGAAAGGTGGCTTATCTGATCTAAAACTACCCAGAAATGACGGTTTTTCAATTTTTGCAGCGCCACTGCTTTTCACGCGGCGTACACAAACTTTTTATCTCGTAGTATGATAGATTGGTCCTTTATCTATAAAATCCACTCATCGGATTGGCGAAAATCGATGCCGAACACCAAAACCCCAAGAAAAGTAAAAACCACTACAAAACCTGAAAAACAGTCATTACATCTGTTTGGGTTGTCCTATCAACAAACGGGCACCGGATTCGTGTTCCTCGCGTGATTTTACATAAGATACCACATTTTGAGCTCAATCGAGTGCATAGAGGCCTCAGAAAGGTGATTTTTCAATTTTGGCCATATTATGTGAAAAGTTGTCAGAGAAAACGAAAATTGCCCATAGAATCTGAACGGTGCATATTTCGGCCCCAAAAATTTGTGGCCTTACTTAGACCCACAAGGACCACCTTTGACCAAAAAATGGAGGAAATCGGCATCGGTCGTGTTCCACGATCGGACTTCTTAAAAAAAATGCCTCTCAATGTTTGAAGGCAACCATTGATGAAGCCACGCAGTTTTTGAGTCGCTCCGCCCCTTCTGCATTGCGGTATGCAATACGGCTGTTTGTGAACGCGACTTTTGCCTTGCTTTGCAGAACTAATATCTTATTGTGATCATCCTCAACTGTGTGCGTATGGCGGAACGTCGAAATGTCAAAGACACATTATAAAAGATAAACTTTGTATATTAATAAAATTTGTTGATTGAGCAAAGAATCTGTTTCGTACATTTAGTATTAATGTTGTACATAAACACACTGGCGAAACAAAGGCATTAAAATTATGCCCTTTAAGGTGGAGCGGCGTGAATCGTTAATGTCTTTTGGAAGGGCATTAAAATTTTGCTTAAGATTCCTATATCATCACCAAGGGCATAAAACGATGTACGCCCTTTAAGGGCGTAAAAGAGTATTTATGCCCTAAAGGGCGTAATTTTTATGCCCTGAAGGGCGTTATGTTTATGACTTTGTTTTAACAGTGCAGATAGAATCAAAAGGGGATAGTATTCAGTCTTTTTCAATTCGTCACCATGGGTTGTGAAGGCTCTGGAAAGATGGGAGCTTCAGACGGCCTCTGCCTGTTGGCCTGGTACTATTCCAGACTGGTGACTTCGCGACCTACGCGAAAGGTTTCACCACTTCGTTGAGCCACGACCGGTACTCGTGCACGTCGGTGAAGGCCGAGTAGGAGAGCTTGCGAGGGACGCCCACCGAAACGATCCCCATCAAGAACCAGCGGTCTCCGTGCTGAAACGCGAGCCCTCCGCCGCTGTCTCCCGGGGCGACGGTGGCACCTGGACAGGAACATGGCGATGTCAAACCATAGACAGACATGCAGAGGGAAAGATAATGCTCTCACTGCAAAACCGGTGGCAAGTTTGCCTGTCACAAAATTGCCCGCACTGGTAGCCAACGAATGTGACATCACATTCGTTTGAACGTGAAAACAGCGATGTCAGTTTGAACGTGACAAACAGAGAAAATTCATACTCATACGAATGTGACACACCGCACCGCTCTGTCACATTACTTCGGGCGCTACACGAAATCAGCAGGCAAACTGTCACATTAAAACGAATGTGACACATGGTACCCATTGACATACATCGTGTCACATCCAAACGAATGTGACATCCATATGCTGTCACGTTCGTCTGAATGTGACATGCCCGAATTGTCACATAAAATTGAACGTGACACGCCATAACCTGACACTTATGGCGTGTCCGGGGCGTGTCACGTTCGTTTGAATGTGACAATTAGGGCATGTCACATTCAAACGAACGTGACAGCATATGGGTGCCACATTCGTTTGGATGTGACACGATGTATGTCAATGGGTACCATGTGTCACATTCGTTTTAATGTGACAGTTTGCCTGCTGATTTCGTGTCACACCCGAAGTAATGTGACAGAGCGGTGCGGTGTGCCACATTCGTTTGAGTATGAATTTTCTCTGTTTGTCACGTTTAAACTGACATCGCCGTTTTCACGTTCAAACGAATGTGATGTCACATTCGTTGGCTACCAGTGCGCGTACTGATCTGAACACACTCTCGTTGGAGTGTACTCAGCTGAGCACACTCTGAGCACACTCAGAACCTTGCAAAGAATAGAGTGTTCTGAGCACACTGCTGAGTTTCCAGAGTGGTTTGCAGTGGACTCACCGTCGACATGGCCCGCACAGAACTTGTCGTTGGTGAGGAAGGGCAGGAAGGTGGAGGGCACCGCCGCGGCGCACTTGTCGAACGGGATGAAGGGCAGCTCCGCGGACTGCAGCACGGGGCTCGGCGACCGGTCCTCCGTGCGGCCCCACCCAACCACCTGCACATCCGTTCCCAGTTCAAACGGGAGAACCAAGCAATCTCATTGCCGGAACGTGACGTCACCTTCTAACGAATGTCACGTTCCTTTGAGCATTGTGTCACGTTCGTTACAACGTGAATAAGCTAATTTATGGCTGACTCACGTCCAAACAACTTCCTTGATGGCCGCCTGCACTGCAAAGCCAGTGGTAAGTTTGCTTGCCGCAAATTTGGCAAGCCGTCTTGAATGCCAAAATATGGCAAGCTTTGGTCGGAAATCTTCATAGGCTTGCGAAATTTTGGCAAGCTGGGTGTTTTTTTTCTTGCCAAGCTTGCCAATTTTTGGCATTCAAAATGCTTTGCCAAATTTGTGGCAAGCAAACTTACCACTGGCTTTGCAGCGTGAAAGGTAGGTAAAAAGAGATACTGAGCCCCTGCAAGTAGGCAAAAAGTGCTGCCCGTCTCCAAACACAGACACACACACCAACAAACAAACCGCCTTTGGATCCGCCCCTGACTGAACGCACCTTGCCGACGCTGTTTTCCGACGGCCTCGGCACGGCACTGCCGACCCAGTCCACGCAGATGGGCACCACGTACGCGTTGAAGTCGACGGGCGACTGCAGCACCACGAGGCCTATGTCGTCGGCGTAGTTGCGCGGGAAGCCGCGGTAGCGGGGATGCGGCACCAGCCGGGACACCTGGGCGTAGGTGCAACAACACTGTTAAGATTTGATGTCTCTTGGTGAGAAAAAATTGGATGATATTTTCATCACTTGAAGAGATGACAGCTTCATCACGAATTAGTGACATTTTATTAATGCTCCTACAATCACTGCATTGGGCGTGACAAACAATGTCTTCAACAAGATTTGGGACATTCTTTTACAGAAAATTAGCTTTGAAATTGTCCTTACGTGAAGAGCAAAAATTTTACAGAGAAGGAACCGACTTAGGAGTGTTGAACCTTTGCATCAAAGACAGCGAACACACCCACAATTCAAGAGTCTTGATCAATATAGTTTGGGTGAGGGGAACTACTTTTATCACTTAAATTTGGGTGATCAAGGATCAAATGGAAAGACTCAGAGCCAAAATACGGCCAGACAAAGAGTCTTGCCCAGGTTTGGTCAGGTGATAAAGTAACACCCAAAATTTTGGTGGTAAAGTCACTCTTGCCCATCCAAAATTTTAGTTTTGGCTATGGTTGTTTTCTTCTCTACGCATACTGACGTTTCGGCGCTGTGCTTCGGGAGTGCTTCGGTCCCAATCTCGGAAAGGACTGCCGACTGAAACTTGAAGGTCGTTCGCGTCCAACTGGCTGCCATACTGGCCATTCGTGAAGAGGCAATGCGCCGCTGAAAAACAGAAAGCAAAAACAACTGAATCGAGGAAGACTCGGAACCGTGCGTGAAGATCCATGAAATAAGTGTGGAAATAAGCCATGGTGGTCGCCTGAACTAAGTAGATCTCGTAAACCTACGTCACAGTGTTCTAGGTTTTGGATGCACAAATGAATTCCTTGCAATGTGATTTGAGCATCGTTAACTAGAAAGTCGGTGCAAACATGATACGAAGAAAAATTTCTCCATGATACAAATCCTTGTAGAAATTTTCATTGCAGGAGACAAATACACTGGCAAAACGCAACGAAAAATTCTATCAACAGCTTGTGGTTATTCTCCGCAGCCGAGGGGTCCATCACTCCCTCCAATCACTGTACACCCAAAAAAACAATCGTGATTAGAATCATCTACAATCATCTCCAATCATCACCAATCATTCCAATCACCTCCAATCATTCCAATCGCTAAAATCGTTTCCAATCCATTTCCAATCACGTTAAATCAGCAACAATCACGTTCGCAATCATTTAAATCAAGATTAAAATCGTTACAGTTTAAGTAAATAACCTGACATTGGAGCTGCTTTAGGTAGACAGTACAACATAAGCCGTTGTCAATGAAGTTTTCTTGCCAGTACTACTGATTTTAAAAAATCTTCTTTGGAAAAGAGGGCATCAGCATTCGTTGTTGGTAGTGTAATTTGATCCAGGAAGCGGAAGAAGGGAATAATTCTACTTATCTCCAAATTGGGTTTTATCTATTATGTTTGTACCTTAGATGGTTTGCATCATTACCAAATTACTTGCTATTTCCAGAAGTTGGAAAAACCAGTTCCCGAACAAATAATTCGTAGACCTACGTCACAGTGTTCTAGGTTTTGGATGCACAACTGAATTCCTTGCAATGTGATTTGAGCATCGTTAACTGTGAAGTCGGTGCAAGCATGATACGAAGAAAACTTTCTCCATGATACAAATCCTTTTAGAAATTTTCATTGCAGGAGACAAATACCGGCAAAACGCAACGAAAAATTCTATCAACAGCTTGTGAATATTCTCCGCAGCCTTCTAGTCGGTATTCTCCGTACACTGTTAAAAATCCACTGTAATATTACAAGACAATCACCTACAGTAATGCTGTTAAAAAACAGCAGTATTGTTTTGTGTCTGAACAGGAAACCCATCCAGAAACAGCACTTTCGTTTCATAACAATTTCCTTGTCAAGTAACAACAATGAAATCGTGATTCAAAATAGTTGAGTTGTCGTTGAACAGGTTTCATGTTTAAAACAGCCTTTTGCAATCTTAAAAATATATTGTTGTAGGTTACAAGGGTCCTTGTTTAATAACAGCCGATGAAATTCAACAAAGTGTTGGGAAGACATCGTCCGAAGATTTTCTAAAGAAGTCTTGTTTTATTACAATCGAACTGTCAAAAACAACCGAGGTACAACACTTGTAATAAAACAAGTCTGCTGCTATCAAACTTAACAGCAAAAGTGCTGTTAATTTACAGCACTTTTTTTAACACTGTAGGACCTTACAGTATTAACCTGCTAAGCTTGCGCCATTTCCTTCGTAGCGAGGTAAATTTTTCATCGTAAGACATTATTTTGAGTCTTGAATGTTAGAATCAGGGTGCTTGAGATTTCTGTTCATTCCAAACCCGGGGATAAAAAAATCTTACCAGTGACAATGACACGGGGGAGGACCAAGGAGCCCCCGCACACCTGAACGGACGCCACGTACAGACCGGCGTGCCAGGGGAACTCGCTCAGGGACGCGTTCTTGCCTTTCACGATGAACGCTTGGCCGCTCGCGGACGCGAATCCGCATTCTGCAACACAATTTGCTAAGTGCCATCCTCACAATTGATTTTCGAGACGGATCCGATGCCTCCCACTTCAAAATCCACTGAGTACTTAGTACACATCAGTGGGAGTGTGAAATGAGACAATTATTCCTGTGTAGGAGTGTTAGAGACAGTAAACATACACGGCAAAATCGGTTCCTGATTTTCCCCACAGCCTCCATTGAAATCGCATTGTCTTAGGTTACCGGGGAAAACTAGGAACGGTTTTTGCCGTGGGAGTGTTATATAGACACGTATACATCTAATCCAGTTGATGAAGACGAAGTGTGCTTTCTTGAGTAACACTTCTGTAGGAGTGTAATAGGCAAGGACACACCAATGAGAGTGTACTTGGGCTAGTGTAGATGTGCACTTGCCTAAAACTCCTGAACTTGTCAACGAGTACACTCTCATGTGAGCTAAGTACACATTGGATCTTGTAGGGTAGGTGCCCTCTGGACTCTCCTAACCACCACCTCCGTCTTTCAGACACGGTGTGCATAGTACACACTGCCTGGAGGATAAGACCGAAGGTTAGAAGAACAATAAGAGTAAAAGTTCCGAAGCAGCGACCCGTCCTTCAACAAACCAACATCTGCCGCAGAGCAGATGCTGTCTTGAGACAGTTGTAGTTACGGTTATTCTCTGGACAGATGTGACTTACGTGCAACACCTTCAAAGGGAACGATAACAGCGCCCGCTGGTCTTCGCGACACAGTGGAAACATCTGAAACAGAGAAATGAAAAAATTGCTGTACTGTGTTCGTACTCAATACCGTAAGCCGGGGGTAATATGAGACAATTTCGGAGTAATATGAGACGGAGTTTGGTTTGCGTAAGATTCACTATGAGCCCGCTATTCGGCCACAAAGAGGGCCACCACTATAACAAATTCATTACTCTTGATGATACCATTTTTCGCCGTGAAGTTTGACAGGGATGAGTCATCAAATGCCACGAGCATTATAATTCTAACGATAAAAGTCATGCGTCTCTTATGACCCCGAAATTGTCTCATATTACTCCAGCTTATGGTAATCACACAACGTTTTTGTATCTGACACGTATAGCTTAGACAAATCTAAGATACGATGGATTCCTCGCGAAATTTTACATGTAGATAGCCGAGCGTAAAAACCTGAAACCTCTTGGCTTTTAACTGACGCTTTGATTGCATTTTCCTGCATTTTTGGGACCACCATCGCAACTATTCACTCATAAACACAACCCCCGCATGCCCTGAAACTGGTCGCTTTTGTCACCTGATCCACTTTTCAGGGCGCCCAATGTCGTCCAGTTTCTGAGCACCTTTGTTACCTTTGTCGCCTGGTCTCAGGGCAGCAAAAGTCATGAAGAAGCTTGCATTCTCTCATGGTTCGGCAGCGCCGATTGTGCCCAGAATTTGGCCACCTTGGTCGCCCAGAGACTAGGCACCTGTGCAATGCTCTGCCATAGGAGAGGGCCAGTTGCAGGACCACTTTTGAGGACCCCGAAGCTAGACAAAAAAAAAATTGCCCAGTTTCAAGGCATGCCAAATTTAGAGTGTAGGTGTGTAAACAACTTCCACTCTACTTTTTTGGTGAGGCCATTGGTGATGCAAATAATCCGAAATTCGCTCCTATGCCTCTTTCAAAAAATAGAAAAGAAACATTTTAAATACTCGTTTATGGAGAAGGAAACGGGGGGTGAAGTGGCCTACACCCCTTGGCAGCACACAGCACACCCACCACCAACGTTGCAGTTTAGTCCACCGTAATTACCCATTATTAAAAAATTAAGAGGTTTCAATTGCGTTTGCGTCTGAGAGCACGAAGGAACTCGCATACCTCCGAAGGTGACGGGCATGTCGCTGTTCCAGTGGTCCGGCCGCACGTTGAGCGTGTCGCTGCTGGCCGAGGGCGCGGGCAGCGTGGCCACCTTGTCGGGGTGGCCCTGCAGCCACACTGCGAGCTGGCCCGCGCGCCGCTCCGCCTCGAACACCAGGTAGCCGCTGCGGAAGTGCTCCGCCGGCCGTGCCTGCGCCGAAGGATCCAGTCAGACGACCAAGCGCGCGGTGCCAAACGCTCAAGGACGGGATACACTGTTGAGGATTTCTTAGCAGATGATACGTTTACGTATCATCATGCTTGTAGTCTCAAGCGCAGAGTACCGAGTTAATTGGTGCAAGAACGAAAAAAGTTTCTGCTAAATTTGTACCACGATGTAATTTCAAAATTCTAGAACTTCAAATTCGATCTCATCATCAATTGCGAATTCACAAAATACTCTCAAACTTTAAAAAAATCCTTAAATTTTGGCCGACTTTTTCTTCCTATTTACAAAGGAAACAAGGGACGAAACCGCAAATTTTCTTACTTACTTTCTTTCTTTCTTTCTTTCTTTCTCGATTTTACCTGTTAATTAACGATATGACCATTAAATTTTGGAAGCTTTTTGGAAAATGATGAATTACTTGTATGTAATCCTACCATTTCGAAGCACGTCGTCATACAGATTCAACAGGCAAAGATTCGAAAAAATAAGCTTGATTCGAGCTAGAGATTTCGCTGTAAAATTACTTTTCGATTCGTTTCGATTTCTAAAATTTTGAGTTAAGTTCGAAAGATTGACGTTTGTCAAATTTACGATTCTTGTCGTTACTTTACTTATTTTTATTTGTAAAATTACGATAGTATTTGCGGGGATTCCTAAAGCAAAATAACGACTTCACCTTACAGTGAAGTCAAAACGTCAAAACGCCTGCAGTCGCGAATGAGGAAAGTGAACGTGATGTTTCTCGCGCGGCACAATTGCGATGCCTTCCTGAAGAGGCGCTTCGAGGTCGAAATGGACCGTATTTCGAGCTAACCCCCTCAAAGTGGCATTATTTTGACCGTTTTGAGTCTCCTTGCCTGAGCTTACCGCCCACTCACCCCGCTGTTGTAGTTGCCGCCGGTGCAGTAGCGGCCTCGCGCGTTGCAGCCCGTCAAGGCGCTGTACGTGAGCTGGCCGCTCGGCACGGCGCCAGGCACCCACAGCCTGCTGCATTGGCCGCCGTCGCACAGGTGGAACTCGACGGGGCCGAACTCCTCCTTGTAGTGCACGCGCACGGTCACCCTCTGGCCGACGGACAGGGTTTTCGTCGGCACTGGGAAAGGAAATGAATGCACCCGGTGAAAACACTTGTGTGCGTCTCAGCTGAAATTCCAAACGCTACACTGTCAGAAATTTCCAAAGAAAATAATATGGAAAAATCATGGAGTTTTTCTGAAGCTTCTGCATAGAGCTCTCCATAAAAGCAAACTCTGGGCTTTCTCTGAAAATTTTCGGAATTTGGAACAAAAATGCATGCTTTACTATCAGGAAATCACGAAAAACCTGTTTGCAACCAGGCAAAGTATGAGGGGAAAAGGTGGCCCCTCCTTGTTTAGCTCAGTTTTTAGGCACGAAGTAGCCTTATAGTATACCCAGGATTCAGCTGGCCCGAGATTCAATTTGTGTGGCCCTTTATGCATTTCGGAAATTTTCTATACGATTTTAATGAGACTTTGCAGAGTTGTAGAACTTCGAACGCTGATCCTCATGCTGAAATCTGGTTAAAAAGTTGGTGGCCAATTTTGAGAAATTTGCTGTCAAAATCGCCGTTTCCATGGCAAAACTCGACTCGTCAAAGGAAAAAAAAAGGAGTGGGGGGAGCCGAGCCGGGGCGGGCTTCTTTTTGGGTCTGTACAGCTTACTCCAAAAGCTGAAATAGCACGTTCGAAATGAAAAAAAAATTTTTGACTGCAGGTAGAGAAGATGCAACAATAGAATTGATCCAGGAAGCGGAAGAAGGGGATAACTCAATTTTAGCCATTTTTCAGGAGAAACCAAAAACTGATAGCAGGGAATACTAAAACAAATCAAATGAATGTTGCAGATGTTAATAATTTCAAAAAGCATTAGTAAAATTTTGGAAAAAAATCAAAAGTGTAAGGAAATCACTTTTCGTTGAAATGGAAAACAGAGTCAGCTCACCTTATAAGCCAAAGGCAGGCTAGCGCCGCAGGCCAAGTTAGGTACGCCAGGCGCGGATTGGAGGAACAGGCAGCGAGACATCGCGAAGCCTGTTACGACAAGACGCGGTCTGGCGTAAACCTACCTTGTTATCATCTGGTTTGGCTCATGTAAGGTCTTAAAATATTCCCTAATGCCCGTATTAAGTCACTGTCCTTTGAGAATTTTCGTTAAGTCCAAGGCCGATTTGTCCTGGAGTCATGAACTTTGTATTGGCAATGTCTCAGAATGGCTGGAATCGAGTTCGGACGCTTTCCGCACGCACTTTTGACATCGGACGTTTTCCGCGCGGACCCGCCAGATCGGATCTTTTCCACACGGACCTGGCAGATCGGATCTTTTCCGCACGGACCTGCCCGATCGGATCTTGTTCTTAGGGCCCATCGAGAAGATGGTCCCTTCTTGGGCCATTTCAGACGAAAGAATGCTTCGGCGAAGCCCTCTTGAACATATCTGAGAAAAGACTTGCCTTTTTCCTGTCATCAGGATCCAAGTAATGCTCCAAAGAAGATTTGTTTAAGCCCTGAGAAAATCTCTCCGAAAAAAGTTGGAAACAAAACGGAGTCTCCATGAACGTGATTACAGACTTTTTCACCATAAAATTTCGGAGCTAATTCCTAACAGAGTGGCATCAGCGGCTCATGCCACGATAGTTGTTTAGCCTGTGCATACGGCGTTTGAATTACAATGTGAAGTGTTCAGTTCTTACCCTGTCCAGTTTTTCCCCGCACTGGCCCTAGCGTGTAATGGTGAAATGCCAAAAAATGCCCTAGGCTAACGCATGGGAAGGCCTAGCACTTTACGTGCGATGCAAAAGCATAGCACAAATTTGTGGGATGAAAACATATTTTTAGAATGCTGTTTACTGAAAATTTGACTCGTCACTTGATGACAATTTCAAGGCTAATTTTCCTTACACTGCAAACCTAACTGTCTACTTAGCACGCACTTACTTACAAATGCATGCTTGCAAGTACACACTTACAAACGCATGCTTGGCCAAGCATGCACTTACAAATGCATGCTTGGCAAGTACACGCTTACAAACGCCTATGCTTAGCATGGAGTTATACGGCGCCAAGCATGCGTTTGTAAGTGTGTACTTGCCAAGCATGCATTTGTAAGTGCATGCTTGGCCAAGCATGCGTTTGTAAGTGTGTACTTGCAAGCATGCGTAAGTGTGTACTTGCAAGCATGCATTTGTAAGTGCGTGCTAAGTGGACAGTTAGATTTATAGTGTACAAGAGAGTCATCAAAAGAATCGATGACATTGTTGTCACGCCCATGCATGCAATAAATATAGGATCTTTGATGAAAATGTCATCAACTTGTGATGAGACCGTCATCATTTGAAAGTGATGAAAATATCATCCACGATTTTGTCATAAAGTGACAACAAATTTTCAGTGTTCTAGCACAACCTTTAAGCCCGTGTTTCACCAGCGAGGCCCAAGGCGAGCGTGCCCCCTACCTTTGTCGCACATGGCCGCAATCTCGTCGCTGCCATCACTGCAGCCGTCCACGTCGCCGTTGCACACCCAGGAGGCGGGGGTGCACTCGCCGCTGTTGCAGCGGTACTTCTTGAACCCGTCCTCGTAGTCGCAGGTGTCATCTGTCGACAGCATCCGTGCATCAGTTATCAGGTGTGCACAGTCACAGGCAATTACTTTGAAAGTTTTTTTAATGCGTAGCATTTGAAATAAATTTTTACAGAGTGTTACCATCCGAGTCCAGCAACTTACTGATGAAAGCGGCGGGCATGTCGTTGTTCCAGTGGTCCGGCCGCACGTTGAGCGTGTCGCTGCTGGCCGAGGGCGCGGGCAGCGTGGCCACCTTGTCGGGGTGGCCCTGCAGCCACACTGCGAGCTGGCCCGCGCGCCGCTCCGCCTCGAACACCAGGTAGCCGCTGCGGAAGTGCTCCGCCGGCCGCGCCTGCACCAGAAACTCTGTTTAGATGACCTGTGTCATTTTATTTTGTGACCTTGACGTTCCTACATTGTGAGTGACATTGATTTTTCTACAACCTTGATCTTTCTCCAACCTTAATCTTCCTACAAGCTTGATCTTTCTACAAGCTTGATCTTTCTACAAGCTTGATCTTTATACAACCTCGATATTTCTACAACCTTGACCTACACACTAAATTCTTATGTACTTTTTGTCCGTGTACCTATGGCCATATTTGAACATACGAAAGATATGCAGTTATAATTAGGTATAATTTTACAAATATTGAAACAGAATATGGAAATTTGGTCCCTAATTTACTAATGAAATTGTACACAGCTTGCGTATGTGCAAACGGCCATAGTCATGGACAATAAAGGTACATAACATTTGGTGCGTACTTCTTGACCTTGGTCCGCCCACTCACCCCGCTGTTGTAGTTGCCGCCGGAGCAGTAGCGGCCTCGCGCGTTGCACCTTGTCAAGGCGCTGAACGTGAGCTGTCCGCCCGGCACGGCGCCAGGCACCCACAGCCTGCTGCATTGGCCGCCGTCGCACAGGTGGAACTCGACGGGGCCGAACTCCTCCTTGTAGTGCACGCGCACGGTCACCCTCTGGCCGACGGACAGTTTCGTCGACGGGACTGCACGAAAGGGCAACGGGGGTTCAATTCAAAGCAGGTACATACTGCGTTCTGTTAACTGTCGCGCATGAAAGTTTCAGATTTTTATCTCAATCGTTCCGCTTACTTTGATTCACTAATTCACCATGAAATTGACCCACCTTAGCCGTGAATTAGGCGCAAGCATCACGCTACGTATATTTTTGGCCCATAGCCTTTGCATAAAATTGGGCGTGCGCATGAAGCGCACAAATTCATGAATTTTTAAACGTATGCAGAATTTTATACAAAACTTATAGACAAAAATCTACATTGAAATTTTGTGACAGTAGCAAAATTTTTCCAGAATGTGAGTCTTTTCCTTCTTTATTTTATTTTTACTGTCATTAGCTGACCGCCATTTTTTGACAACCCAGCCAGGAGGAGCTGATGTCAAAAAACGGCCATGAAAACAAAACAAGCACCTTCGTAGGCTAATACTATGAAGAAACACCAAATTACAACGTGCAGCAGTCTTTTGGTGCATAGCATTTCCGCAAAATTGAGCACACGCGCGAAACGCTCGAATTCGTGCGCAACAATGCACACTGTCGTGCTTCGTTACTCACAAAATTCGTGCATTTCAAAACGCATGCATAATTTTACGCAGCTTACGCCCCAAAAAGCTACATAGCAACTTAGAGTGAAAGCTATCTTCGTATCACACTTGCGCCGTTTTCATCGCACATGGGACGTTTTCGACACACTGCAGGAAATAACCACAACAAAAGTACACAAATTTCTGGCAATTTTTTAATCAGGAATTTAGTGTACTTTTTAAGTACAACAATTGTTGTTCAAAGTACAATGGAACCGGCATGCCGAGTGCTGTGCAGTCCAGGGCTCGTTGTGGTTTGTACAATTCTCGTTAATCCCTGTTGTACTTTTGTTGTACAGTTTTTGTTGTACTTTTGTTGTACTATCCACACTTTTTCTTGCAGTGCATTGCGCTTGTTCTCACGCACCACTGTCACACTTGGACGCTTTCTCATCGCTGCCGTCCTTGCAGCCGTCGACCACCCCGTTGCACACCCACGACGCGGGGGTGCACTCGCCGTTGTCACAGCGGAACTTTTTGAATCCATCTTGATAGGGGCACCTGTTGCCTGCAAAAGAAACGTAACCGTTTGCATCCTTTGTGCTACCAACGCAATATCGCAGATGGCGTGTATTGGTCTCCTCTCCTTTTCTTTTATTGCCATAAAAACCGACGATTTTGATTGAAAATTTATCAAAACTGATCACTAATTTTGCAATACTACCGCCAAGGCTCTGCGTGCGTAGCCCCTCGTCTAGACTGCAAATCCAAGTGTGGGAAAGTCTCACAACATTTAGTGTCTCCTCACGCTTACAAGTGTGAGCCACGTTTTGTCGCACCGGCAGTGGGGTATTTTGTCCCCCCCCCTCAAATGTTCAGACTTAAAAGTGCCATTTTGAGTTCGAAAGGGAGAAAAATATGGCAAAGTCACCAATTCTTTAATTTGTGCGTTTCGGCCGCAGGTTTTCTCGATTTGCAGTGTACACTAACATCAAACGGTGCATTGTAAACACCGAGGCAATGGCCTTCGTTTCTGCGCTGCCGCGTTGAATTACGTGCGACGGAGACAGAAGATTCATGCTGAAAGTTCAAAGAGCAATAGTCGGCATGTGCGATAAAACTGAGATCGAACTTATCGTACCCACAGGCATGACGCTCAGAGCATAGGAATACAGAATCAAAACCTTACGAAGTATATTTTCAGCGTTACAAACTATCTAGTAACGAAATGGAATGCAATTTCCTGGGAGTTCCTTGGATAACCAGGACCCGCGGTTTTTTTTTGTCGCGTGAATAGTCCCCAACTTCCTACTGAGAAATGCCGTGCAGTCATAACACCAAGCTAATTCTCAGTACGTTACGAAACACATCCATCATAAAACAGAGAAATTTGTTCGTAATAGAAGAAACTCATCATAAGTTACTGAGAACCCTTCACCATGGGGTACTACCTTCACTGTGCTGTCATAATTACACGCTTATTGTTAGTACTACGAAGAAAAAGCTCGGTATAGGTTCCACTGCAATGCCCAGTGGTAAGTTTCCTTGCCACAAATTTGGCAAGCCGTTTTGAATGCCAAAAATTGGCAAGCTTGGCCCGGAAATACTCCCCAGCTTGCGAAAATTTGGCAAGCTTCTGAAGATTGCCGACCAAAGCTTGCCAAATTTTGGCATTCAAAACGGCTTGCCAAATTTGTGGCAATCAAACTTACCACTGGCTTTGCAGTGTCTCGGGAGTGAAGCGGCGAGCTTTCTGACCTGCGCTGAGCACTAGTCCACACAGGGCCAGGGCGAGGTACAGCCTCACGGCGATGGCCAGCTCCATGGCCGTGCCGGCGTGGCTGAGGCTCGCTGCGAGTGGCGAGGCGATGCGCGGAAAACTTTGCCACGGGACAAGCTCCTCCCAACCGGCCGGCGGCAAGACCGAGACTGAGGAATCCAGCGTGTGCAAGCACGACGGCCCCGCACCCTGACTCGGTCTGTCTCCCTCGCACTCACAGGGCGCCGCCCATGGGTGCGAGAGAGACAGAACGACGAAGACGACTCTCAGAGTGTCTCTCGGAGTCTGCCGCCTGGGACTCCCAGGCTCGCGCGTCACCGTATCGGAGCGAGAGGAGAGGGGGGGGGGCACAGCAGGCTGACCCCGAGCAGTCGCTCTGTCTCTTTTGCCCTCATGGCGCGTCCCGCACAAGTGTGAGAGAGCGACGAAGCGCTGTTTGGGATCTGCTACCTGCGCCGCGACTCGCACCAACAGCAGGGACCCGGCTGGAACCGGGAAGGCTGCCGACCGCTGGGATGATCCATCTGAGCGCCGTGAGGTAATCAGAGCCAAGACAGTGTAGGAGAAGTACACAACTGTGCGTTGACCAATGTCCTACGCACTTGGAAATGCTAATCAATGTTAGGCCAAGCGTAGGATGATGTCGAAAAATGTTCATTCGCGATGAAACATTCCTTACTTTTGTTCGGAAAATGGACAGACGAATAAAGTTCGGAACCTTCGTACACAAGTAAAACAAAGGCATAAAAATAACACTCTTTAGGGCATCCTCTTTTACGCCCTTCAAGGGCGTAAATCGTTTTATGACCTTGGGAAGGGTGTAAATGGTATAGGACTTAAGAAGGGACTACACTGAAAATGGTTTTTTTTTTAGGATTAATCCAGAAATTTTCTTTTTTTTTTGCCGTAAGCCGGGACAATACTATGAGACAATTTCGGGGTAATATGAGACGGAGTTTGGTCAACGTAAGATTCGCTCTAAGCGTTCCCGCCTATTTTTTCCAAAAATAAATTCCCAAATATTGGCTTTCCAAAATACATTTTCCCAAGGCACTCCTTCCCAAAATTAAAGTACCGTAGTTGTGGGTAATATAGACCACTTTTCGACGTCATTTTAGAATTACTGAAAACTGAAAGGTGCTGCAGTCTTGCCAATTATAATATATTATCTACCATCCTTCCCGCGTGTTTTGGCCCAAACGGCATGTTATTAGCCTGCTTATTTGCAGAGTAACAGCTGTGCAAAGAGTGGTCCGTATTACCGCCTAGTGTGGGGTAATATGGACCGCCCCTGGAATTTTTCAGCTACGAAGGGTGATTCGGGTTTCCAATTGGCTTCAAAAACTTAAAAACGTTTTTTTTTAGAGTGTTGGTAATGAGTGCCTCACTTGAATCTCGCGATAGGAGCTCCTGTGCCATCAAAATAGAGATTTTTGATAAAAGTGAAACATTGTGGAATCTGACATTAAAACGGCTCCTGTGCCGTATCTATTAAAAACCGTGAAACGCAATCAATCTAAACAAGTTTAAATTTCGATTTCGAAGACAATACACTTAAAACTTTTCACAGTATCTGCTATTCAACGTGGTCCAAATTACCCTGTAACGTTACAATTTTTTACTTTTTACCTCATAAGTCATCAACAAGTCGATTCTGAGATGCAAGTTTCGACAGACGTAGTCTCAAAACATGAGGGAACAAGAACAAATACCAGAAACGGCAGCATTATTCATAGTTGATGCTCCACAAACTGAAGTTTATCATTAAAAGTCCAAAAACGCCAAAAAATAAGTTTCTTAAAATTTGCTAAATCGAGCTGATATCTCACTGTAAGTCTTGAAGCACCGGCTCATTCACAGAAAATCTATCGGCGTGACTTCGTGCCGCTGCAGGGGCGTGAATTAAGTGCCACGCCATTAAACGGCGTGACAGAAAAGTTACGCCATAAATCGGCGTGACCCAAAAATTCACGCCAATTTTTGGCGTGAATTTCTTGTCATGCCGCTTTTTGGCGTGACTTGTCTCATAAAGCGCGTTGTCATTGACGCCAAATGAGGGCGTGACTCACATGTCACGCCGTTTTTCGGCGTGAATTTCGTGTCACGCCAATTTTTGGCGTGAATTTTTGTCATGCCATAATTTGGCCATGTGTCCGACCATTACGTTTTCAGTGTTGGCATTATTTGAGCCACGGTGCATGCAAGTTCGGTTGTTAGTGCCAGAAACGGTTTTCGAGTCCTCCGCTAGGCGGCAGCACCGATCGCAGAGAAGAATGTCGGGGCTGGTTCACATTCCCACTGTGGTCCAAATTTCCCGCTTTTACGGTCCCAATCCTATATTTTCCAATCCATTGTTACCAATTTTAGTTCCCCAAAAGTTACTCCCAAAAGTTTTCCCAAAATCTTTTCTTATGTGCCCATGAACTCCAGAAGGGAACAGGCGGAGGTCATAACATTTGACCGAAAAAGAGGTGGTGAGGAGCCTCCGGAAGAACAGTGTGAATGATGGTTTTGATGAGTACCAAATTCTGGGCGAGGTAATTCTCACTCAATCACCCAAATCTGGGAGAAGATTTTTTAATCATCTAACTTCGGTTATCAAAGGTTTATCCTTCTTTAAGCGACAAAGGCGTATCTGCTACCTAGAAGCTAATGTTTGGCGAGGAGACCTGCACGCGAATTCAGGCGATACAAAAATCCTCGCCATCATGGGAAACAAGTATCCTCATTCAAAGGTGTAGTCCTGATTATGACTTGCTTGTTTAAGACAAGCCTGACGTGCATGTAGCTGAGTACCTGCGCACTCCAGACGCCACTCAACACTGAAAGCTGCACCGATCACGCAGTTTAAAAAGACTATCTTGGAAAAATACATTTTTGGGAAAATCAATGATTTGGGAAAAATTTATTTGGGAATTCTACATTGGGAGAAAAAGTTTTAGGAACATTCTCCATTGGAAAATGCGTTTGGGAAAAATGACCGCTAACCGCTTTTTTGCAATTAAAAAAATGGTCAAAATTCGTCAAAATTGCTTAGAATTGAACAAACAATGACCAATATTGTAATATTAAAAAATCAAAATCCAAAGGCCCGGCTTAGACCCTGTGGGGAACAACCGATGGAACATTGGTAAAAATTTTAGCCACGTAGATAAAAAATTATGATGCAAGGAACTTTTTCAACGAAAACACGAGACAACGTAACACTTTGCGTGGGTCTACGCGACGCCGCATTCCTTCCATCGGCTCTTAAAGATTCTCAATAGTTTTTTTGAGGAGAAACCTTAGTTGTACCGGCTAGACAAATGTCTTAACAAGGTGTTTTCATGGAAACGTCCACCGAAAGCGGCCATTTTTAGGCACGAAGTAGCCTTATAGTATACCCAGGACTCAGCCGGCTCGAGATTTGATTTGTGTGGCCCTTTATGCATTTCGGAAGTTTTCTATACGATTTTAATGAGATTTTGCAGACTAGTAGAACTTTGAACGCTGATTCTAATGTTGAAATCTGGTCAAAAATTTGGTGGCCAATTTTGAGAAATTTGCTGTCAAAATCGCCGTTTCCATGGCAAAACTCGACTCGTCAAAGGAAAAAAAAGGGAGTGGGGGGAGCCGAGCCGGGGCGGACCAATAGCGGAGCTTCTTTTTGGGTCTGTACAGCTTACTCCAAAAGCTGAAAAAGCAACGTTCGAAATGAAAAATTTCTTTGACTGCAGGTAGACAAGATGCAACAATAGAATTGGTGCCGGTTCGAACGCAGTTTTTCGGGTAGAACTATCCAATAATACTTCTTGATTGGAGTGTTTTTGGACATGCGCAGTGTTGTTGTTGTGATTCAGTTAGCACTAGGACCACTTCGCTCCACCTCGCGACTTGCAGTGCTCATGTTCCTCGAACAAGACTCACCCGCGTTTCGAAACCATCCCTCCCGAGTTTATGAAGTTTGTCAAACCAACCGTCGTGGTGTTGATACGTTGTAAGGGAGAACTATTACACAGAATTGAAGAAAACATGACTAGAGAACCATAGCCTTTTGAAACAAGCCAAACAATTCAACGTCCACAACAATGGAGGGGCAGTTTTAATGCGTTACTGCTGGCGCTTTCAGCTTCGCGATTTTCGCAAGGGCGCAGACGCCGAGAAAATAGTTGCCAACCCGAGAAAATTAATTTACTGACTTCTTTCTGCTAAGAACATTTTAATCATGATGGACTTCAAAGATGTTCCATTGTCAGAACACTGCGGAATACATTAGCATTGGAATTTTTTGAATTTACCAGCATTTTGATTTCTATTTATTGTCAAGTTTAAATTTCGACGGATGGCACATCGACCACATTGGTACCACTGCCATTGGTAGTCCCCTGAGCCACAACTTCACAACACCACTTCTTTTCTTTCTCCACACTCTTACACAATAATCAAATTGACTTCGTGACTCCTAGGATTTCTTGAAATCGTATTTTTTCAGTATAGTATAGTGCCCGCTTAAAAGCAAAATTTTAATGTCCTGCCAAAGGCGGCGTGCAAATATTACGTCACCCGTTTAGGGGGGGGAGGGGATCTAACGGAAAGTGATGGTAGATGATGTGAGGAGGGGAGGGGGGTTGAGCAGAGATGACGTAGTTTTCTGCTGAGAGCCGCGTGGCGTCGGCTTCGCGTAGACGACGACGACGCTGCGGCCACCCGACCGGCCAAGCCAAGTTCTTATTCTGATTCAATTTTGACCTTTTTTTGCTTCGATTTTAGTGCCATAACTATGATTTTTTCTTACTAGTCTTTAGAAATGAAGACTTTTTGTATTAAACTTTGAGATATTGCTAATGTTTTTGCACCTACGGTGTGACTCGCTTGCGAAAACTCAAAAAATAAGAAAACTACGTCATCATAGGGGGAGGGGAGGGGGTTGCGTCAGGGATGACGCTGAGTGATGGTGGGGGGAGGGGGTCAAAAAGTGGCCTAAAACAGGTGACGTAATATTTGCACGCCGCCAAAGGCATTAACGATTCACGCCGCGTTCAGGGGCGTAAATCGTTTACGCCCTGAAAGGGCATAATTTTACCCTGAAAGGGCATAATTTTAAACGCAGCGTGGCAATAATACTTCTGTGCTACAAGACAAGCGGCGTGTCTCCTGCC